TATCATGGGAGAATCTAAGGATTTGGTGAAGGCTTATGACATCATGCATCATGTGTTTCGCAATGTGCTTCTACCCAAGGTGGGAAATCAAGATGAAATCCATGGCTATCTTGTTGACTTGATGGTTGCTATGAAGACAAAGGTGGGTTCTGGGGAAATGTTTGATGTGTCCAATTGGTTGTGGCATGAGATGTACAACATGGTCATCTACAGGAAGGTCCCCATTTATGCTTTGTTTGTCATGTGCTTTCTGAACTCAGTTTGGGAGGTTCGGCGTCCTGGAGAGACTCTCACCTCTCCCGATAATCTCACTGTTCATGAGGTCAAGCTACTCAAGAAGAAGAAACACGCCGAGCCTCGCTTCCCTGCTAATGCTCCTGAGGATGTCTATGCCACCTCAGACGATGAGGACTTTGAGATGGAGCCAGGGGCCAAGCCCTCTTGGGTGGCCAAGCTCACAGCTAAGGTGAAGAAGACTTTCTGCCTCCAGACTGACATTCAGAAAAAGTTGTATGAGGCCCGTGTCAATGAGAAGCATGCACGGTGTCGTCAGATTGCGATGATGAAGCACCTCAACATGCCTGTCCAGAGTGGTTCCAAAAAGAGCATCATACCGGAGGAGCGCTGGATCTCTGCACACAACACGTGGTCTGATGATGATGTCCCTCGCCAGCCTTCCACCTCCGTTGCTGCAACTGATGATATCTTGGAGGAATCCGATCACGACGATGATGATGAGTCTGCCGATGATGAGGATCCAGATGCTACCGAGGAGTCAAAGGAGGACGATTGAGCTTTTGGGGCGCTAGCTTCGCTCTTTCCCTTTTTGGTGTCTTGATGCCAAAGGGGGGGAGAGTTTTATAGGTCTCGGGATTTGCATGGGTCTTTGCCTTGCTTGGGTTTGTGTTTTCCTTTCGTTTGTGGTGTTAAACTTTGGCTTGTGAACCTTGGTGCTTATCTCATCTTGCATGGTGTAAGACATGTGCTTATCTAGCTATCTATCTTTATTATCGGTGATATTGTTGTTTATTCCGTTACTATCTTTACCTTCATATTATGTGCTTATTGCTTATCTTCACATTCCCTCTTGTCGAGTAGGAGTGGTGAGTCTATAAAATCTATGGGGAGTCTCGCCCTTGATGGGTGACAAAATTGGGGCACACATCTAGGGGGAGTCCCGTCTACATTTTGTAGACTTCCCTCGTGCAAATCGTGTTGTTGTCATCATCCACCAAAAAGGGAGAGATTGTAAGGGCATTTCCCTACTTTGTGTTTTGGATGATGATGACAACCCTTTGTTGGTCTAATCTTGTGCTAAGTGATTCAGGTTCTCGGTGGTTAGGCTTTCATTGGATAGCTATTCTCTTTAGAAGGAAAAGATCGAAGACGGAGTTTTTCTTCGCCTTCTATCTCTTTGGTCGTAGGGAACCCGTACTATCAAGAGGGAATCCACATTGGAAAGAGTTGGGGGAATCTTTTCACGTACACTTTCCTCACTCCTCTATTTGCCTCCCTTAGTTGTGTGAGAGAGATCTTCCCTTCTTATCCTACTGCTTACTATGGCTTCCCAGCGGTTGTACCGCTCTCTAGGAGCGGTTGTACCGCTAGTTCTTGACGCTTACCAGTTTAGTTCAAGCGGTTGTACCGCTGCTTCCGGGCGGTGGTACCGCTAACATGCTCAGTAATAAATAGGGCGGTTGTTCCGGCCAAGTACCGCCCAAGTACCGGTCAGACTTCTGTTTTGATGCGGTACTCGGGCGGTGGTGGCCCAGTTGGTCCGGTCGTACCGGTACCACCGGTGCCCGGAGCGGTTCTACCGCTCAGGACTTAGCCACCCCGAGCGCTCAAGGCCAAGCGGTTGCACCGGTCCTGTACCGCTCGATTACCGCACTCAGGGGTGACTCCCTACTGTTTCTATGCGGTAGTTGAGCGGTGGCTGGGCGGTTGGTCCGGTTGTTCTCTTAAACCGGTACTACCGCCTGGTCACTCGGTTGTACCACCTGGTAGGGTTCTGCACGTAAACCGTGAGTCCCGGTTGTACCGGGACAAGGAGCGGTTGTACCGCTGCAGTACAGAAAAGGCAGTAACGGTTGGATTTTTAGGGTTGCTATATAAGGGTGCTTCTTCCACCTACCTTTTGACCTCTCTCACTCCACCATTAATGCTACTCAAGCTCTCTTGCCCGATCTTTCTCTCTAACCACTCAAACTAGTTGATTTGTTAGGGATTGAAGGAGGAGACCTAGATCTACACTTCCACCAAATGATATTTGCTTCTCTCATACTTTCTTGTGTGGATTTTGTTACTCTTGGGTGTTTGAGCACCCTAGACGGTTGAGGTCACCTCGGAGCCACATTTCATTGTGGTGAAGCTCCGCGGTTTCGTTGGGAGCCTCCAATTAAGTTGTGGAGCGAGCCCCAACCTTGTTTGTAAAGGTCCGGTTACCGCCTCCAAGGGCACCAATAGTGAAATCACGACATCTCACATTGTGTGAGGGCGTGAGGAGAATACGGTGTCCCTAGTGGCTTCTTGGGGAGTATTGTGCCTCCACAGCGCTCCAACGAAGACGTACTTCCCCTCAAAAGGAAGGAACTTCGGTAACACATCCTCGTCTTCACCGGCTCCACTCTTGGTTATCTCGTCCCTTTACTTGTGCAAACTTATTTGTGTTATATACCTTGCTTGCTTGTGTGCTTGTTTTTGTTGCATCATATAGGTTGCCCACCTAGTTGCATATCTAGACAACCTACTTGATGCAAAGTTGAATTTGGTAAAGAAAAGCTAAAAATTATTAGTTGCCTATTCACCCCCCTCTAGTCAACTATATCGATCCTTTCAGCTGGATAGGTACTACCGTCAAACTACCGCAAATGAAATACAACGAGAGTAGTCCAAATGTAAGCGGTAATGTCTGCGGCACTAGACTATGGAAGTACCGCACAAGCGGTACTACCGCTGCCTAGGGCGGTACTACCATTAGAGTGCTTCAAAATATCCCAAGGTAGAAAACAGTAGGAACTCCAAAGTTGCAGAAAAGGTATGAGGGTGCATATGGTTGGACAAGAAATCCCTGCTTGCCCTTGCTGGAAAAAAAATCCCACTTGTGTGGAAACAAAAGCTAAATTCGGGCTCATATTCGGGCTCATATTCGCTCGCATATGAGGGTGCATATGATATGGAGCCCTCCTGCTTCGATTTTCATCGACTTTTTGTTGCCGGTTGCAGCCGCCGTTCACGCCGGAGCAGTCGCCGTAGGGGCAGCCGGAGTTGCTGCACGAGGCGTAGGCTTTGGACGAGGCGCCGCTGTGGTCTTCTTCTTGGCGGCCGCCGCCGGCGGCGGCTTTCGAGCCCGTTTGCCTCTGGTAGGTGCAGCGAAAGGGCGACGTGCTGTTGCCAAAGACGGGTGGCCACCCCGGACACCATTGGCGCGATTGGACGCTAAGCTTGGACCGTGCGGTTCTTTGTCATCCCCACGCTTTTTTTTGG